ATGGCTTTCCTTTCTTTTAGATTGAGTTTAATTGTGTAAAAACATGTCGATTGGAGTGAATTGGGGGTGGGTACTAGTTTACCACCTTACTTTGATTAAATACCTTATGTTAGGATCGATTGGCCACATTTCTAGTATAGTATCATGTTAACCGGTTTAATATAGTTGCATGTCTATGTGCTAAATGTTATTGTATGCTTGTATGCTTTGTATTGTATGCCTTGTTCATCCTTAACCGTAAGCATGATGTCCTTAGTCTAGGTTATGCTAACATTGCCTTAGACTTATGACCCGTGTGGGCTGGATAGCCTTGACTTTCTGCCGACGTCGTTCGGATGACTTAGCTCATTGTAGACTGAAATAGCAGACTTGAGTCTAATAGTTGAGCCTTAGATTAGGCGTTATGCTGTTTGCTGCACTTCTGTATCTTCTCCCTCTTATTCTGCGGTTCCGACGCATTCTCGAAGGTTTAGTGCATCACTCGAGGCGTGGGATTGAGATAGTATAGGCTTGGAGCCTTTTATGTGATATCTTAGAGTGGACGGCGTTCCACGGTGGTTGTTGTTGGATTGAATCCTATTGGAGATACCATCACCCCCGGGGTCGTTCTTTCTAGCTAGGCTGGGAACGTATCGCTGGCTGGGTAGACTCGGTGATATCGGCGATCGCCCCCGAGCCTCTCTTTCTAGCTGGGCTGGGAGTGTGCTGCTGGCTGGGTGTCCCCGGGTCGCTCTTTCTAGCTGGGCTGGGAGCTGACTGCATGGTAGGACGACTCGCGATATCTACCTCACTCACGGGTCCCTCTTTTTAGTTGGGCTGGGAGTGGACTGTTTGGTTGGGTGCCCCCTAGGGTCACTCTTTCTAGCTGGGCTGGGAGTGCACTGCTGGCTGGGTGGAGTCTGATGGATTATCTTAGTTACTTTGGGTTGGGAGCCCGGTTTTCTTCTTTCTCAGTAGACTTAGCCTTGCTGTGTACCTGTCGGGCTTATGGGGGTCCGTTCAGGTTTTATTTAAACTTGCGCACGAGTGTACCTTCTGGGCTTATGGGGGTCCAGTTAGGTTTAGTTTAGTTGTACTTAGTTTGTTTATGGTATGCTCGTGTGCTTTCTTTTCTTATCCGCTTTGACCTCTCTGTGTCTAGATTCTATCCTTTCTTATTGTTTTTACCCTTTTTGCTCAGTCGGCCTATGATGCCTACTGAGTACCTGTTGTGTTGGTACTCATGCTACGCTCTGCATCTATTTCGTGATGCAGGTCCCAGTACCAGTTACCAGCGGTGATTAGTTCCAGCCTTCTTTTGCAGTTGTGATTCGGAGACGAGGGCGAGCACTTGGCGTTTTGGGGTTTGTTCTGTCTCCTTCTTTTGTTTTAGCTAGTCTTGTTGCCTTTGAGACACGCTCTGTTGTGGTCCACTTTTGGGACTTGTACTCTTTATTAGATAGCTCTGTACTAGTGACTTCCAGGTTCTGGGAGGGATTTCTGTATATATTTATTTTGGGTTGCTTCCGCCTTGTTATCCTTGTTTAGATTATTGTTTTCGCTAGTTTCTGCCCTTTTGCTCATTGCTTGATGTTCTGGGTTACGGGTTGGCTTACCTACTGGTAGGGTATAGTAGGTGCCATCATGACTCGAGAAATCGGGTCGTGACATGTTTTTATCTCTGTTGGAACTGAAACCTGAGACCTCATCATTCTCAACCACTTCATTGACCACTAGGCCACACACGCCCCAAAATTACTGGTAAAACAAATAAGACTTTTTCTCCTGTTAACATACAACCCTGAAACAATTCAAAAACAGTGAGAATCAATCTCAAAATGTCTTAACTGCTTCACTCAGCATCACATGTCACAATCGTATCATCGACATTTAAGAGATGAGCTATTTCTACTCAACACATTGTTATAACAACAATAAAATGCAAATTGTTGAATCAACGATATACATGAACTTCTGGATGAATTGATGTGAATACAATGTCTAATCAACAATGGAACTTCTTGATCTGATAGCAACTTAGACTGATATAATGTATAAGCAATCTGCAAAGACTAGATTTCAGGTATGGTACTCCGACTTCTACACTGAGAACCCGTCTACTTTTGACATGAGTTGCCTGTCGTCTACTCGTCTTGGTTTATTCATCCTACCTTCGGACAAGTGAAACAATGGCAATAACAAGCTATCCGAGCAAGCATCAAGATATGAAGCCAAACAAGCAAATAAGTTAAACCTGGTTTTCTACTATTTTGCTCAGACTCTCCAAAAATGTTTCCCCACACTTGTCAGATCAACTAAAAATACACTACTTTTGAAGGATTCAACACGCACCCGTCAACATATTTGAAGAGTTTGAGTAACATAGATTTATTGTATAAATAACATTTTCATCCTTTTTTAAAAAAATAAGAACAATAATGTTGGTGTTAACAAATTAAAATACCTTACCCCTACCTCGTGGAGGTAAAGAGGTTGTTTCCGGAAGACTCTCGGATCAATTAACGCATATCAAATTTGTTATTATCAACGGGACATCTAGAGTACAAATTCTATGTTCAAGCTGTCAATTAAATCAACATTCAAAACTTGTAATAAATTCATTTCTCTACTTGCCTGGTGGACTAAGAAGTTGCAACAGCATTTATTCTCCCGAAATTTCTCTCCATTCGCACTTCTAGAGTTTCGTTACCCATACTTTGCTGCTCCTCTTGGATCTCTTTAGCTGAAAGCACTGCAGATTGGCTTGAATTTTCCAGCTCAATTATCTGCAAAGTCGGAATATCTCCCAGATCGTGAGGGATGCTGTCCAAGTGAAGACAACTCTTAAGAACTAGATGTTCCAGGACAGGAAAATGATCATTTGAGGCACTCCAGTGTTTTATATCAGATATCTCAATCAGCAACAGTTTTAAAGAACCGAACCCCTCTTCAACTTGTTCCCACTTTGGACCTGTGAAGGCATAATTCTTTAGTTTGAGTACCTCGAGATTCGGTAATCTACAAAGAGAGGCCATACTCTCCCATGGCAAGTAGGTGAAGCTCAAAGTTAACTTCTTAAGATTCTCTGGAAGTGCATCGAGATGAAGTGCTAATTTTGGTACTTGTACAGGTGGTGTCAACCCAACAATCTTTAATGCTTTGAGTTGAGGCAGGAGAGCGAGATTTCTAAGGCAATCTGACCACAAGTCTGATATTGTATCACTACAATAAGGCCACAGATTTTCAGACGTGTAAAGAAAATCACTCCACGGAATCTGGACTGGATAAGTATACTCGACCGTTTCACATATTCCCAATTTCTTCAACTTAGGAGTGCTTGAGAAGACATCTGTTGTACAATCTGCAAGGGTAATGTTGGTAAGTGTTTGTAGGTTATTCAAGACCAAAGAATTGTGTCCGCTACGTTCTTCATTGGTTTGGCTTGGCAAACAGATGCTTGGTTTAATATGGAGATGTCTGAGGTTTGGCATCTTCCAAATCTCCCGAGGCAAAGTTGAGTCTCTTGAATACACATGAAGGATTAAAGTCTGCAAACTCCAAAACTGTGATACAGCTGGAGGGAATTCACTACTAGCCAATGCAAGGTAACGCAAATTAACAAGTTGCGTTATCTCACTAGGGAACTGTGGGAAATGTTGGGAAGTGATATCAAGAACTCTGAGCAATTTGAAGTCTATGTATGAAAAGATTGAACTTTGAGAAATATCGAATCCCAAGATGGAACGAGAAAATGAAACAATAGGATCAGTGGGGTGAAATGAGTAACTGGAGAAGATGGTGCTACAATTGAAACTAACCCGACGCAGAGCTGTTATGCCTTCTGATAGAACATCAAGGGATTGCTTCTTCAAGAAATGTAGAAAGTTTTGTCTTTTAGCTTCTTCTAAGCAAAAGTCTCGCATGATATCATGGAGTTTACATGTTTTGAGTTTTCCGTTAGACCGCTTTACTGCTAAAACCAAACTTCTATCAATAAGATCCTCCAAGCACTCCTCTGCTATCTCTTCCATGGTCGTAAGCCCTGTTGCATTAAGAAAGCCCTCAGCAACCCACAACCTGATCAGCTTCCACACAGGAATCTCAAAATCTTCAGGAAATGCTCCCATGTACAAGAAGCAGGCTTTTAGATGTTGAGGCAGGTAGTTATAACTTAGAGCAAGTATGTCTAAACACTGCCCCGGCTCACGATTCACAACGGAACCCACACTCTCTGCAATAGTGTTCCAGCAATCAGTAGTCTTGCTCATTTTCGAGAGATGCCCTGCAACCACAACAATTGCTAGAGGTAGTCCTTGGCATTTTTCTGCAATACTTCTTCCGATTTCTTCCAATTCAAATGGACATCCTTTTTTCCCGAAAAGTTTCTGATGGAGTAGCTCCCAACCTTCGTCATTGCTTAGAAAATTCAGTCGGTGAGGTTGCCGATCAGGATTAGCATAAGTTGCTACATCAATGAGCCTACTCGTTAGTATGATACGACTTCCCTGATTATCATCAGGAAACAACATGCTCACATTGTCCCAAGCATCAGTTTTCCACATGTCATCGACAACAATAAGAAATCTCTTATATTTTAAACTTTTTTTCACTCGATCCGCAGTTTCTTGGTTTCTTCTTTCATACATTTCTTTCGAAGAATGAGTCATTTGTCCACCATGCAGTTGATCAGCAGCTTGTTTGTCACTCTCTTGATTGATTTCATTGGTTGGACGAACAACAGAATAAAAGAGACCAAATAAAATGTCTGTTTCTTTATACTCTTGAGAAACAGTTATCCAAGCACGAACATCAAACCGATTAACAACAGAAGGATCATTATATGCTCTCTTCGCAAGAGTTGTTTTACCAATACCAGCCATTCCGACTATAGTAATGATATCTAGTTCAGAAGGCCTACCGTTGAGCCTATCAATTATTTTCTCCAAGTCATCCTGGAAACCAACTGGTTTTTGTTGCACATTTGGACTACTTGTCGATACATGCCTAGCCGGTGAAACCTTAGAACGAAACTTCAAAGTACTAATCTTTTCACCCTTAATTTTCATCACTTCTTTTTTGATGAACTCCATTTCTTCAATTGCTACCTGCAGCCTCTTACATAGGACTTCGAAGGCCTTTCTTCGGTAATTTGCATTTTTGGCCAGAAAATATTTTCTCAGCTTTGAGTCAACAATATCTTCAACTTGATATGTTTTCACTTTGATCTTTCCTTCCAACATTTTCAGCCTTTCATTCCTATGCTTTATCGTTTCATAATCCGTCAAAAACTCTTGAAAAGCAATAATTCTTTTGCTCAGTGATGAGATTTGCTCTTTCCTCTGAAGATTATTCAGTAATGGATGATTGCACTGCCTGAACAACTCGAGCGAGCATACAGCAGAGGTCAAAGCAGCATAAGCCATTTCTTCTTCCTTAGAAATTACATTAAACAAACTATGATCAAACTAGACGTCGGAGCAGCTTTCCTTTAGTTATTTCTAGGAACAACGCACAGATGTATTATGTAATCGTAATAACAGGTAATACAGTCTATAGTAATGAGTTAAAATCCAAGAAAATGAAAAATTCTGAGGTGTTGGAAAAGAAGAACGAGTTTTTCAACTTATATACACCGACAATGAAAACATGCTCACAACTCACAAGTAATGACTAATAGCCATCTTAAGCATTTGGCTCATCCGAGCTCAGTATCTTTGGCTTAGTTAGATTCTATACATATTTATATATAACAAAAAGTTGACTTAGTGGTCAATGAAGTGGTTTGAGAACTACGAGATCTCGAGTTCAAATCCCAATAGAGATAAAAACACTAACGTCATTTCTTCCCATCTATCCTATCCTTAGTCCACACAGTTACCTAGTACCTGTTACTGGTGGGAAGTGGGAAGTGACAGATATCCTGTGGAACAGTAGCGTAGCTAGAAGTACGGTACATGTTCAATGGAACTCAGTAGCTTTTGCTCAAACAGTATATTTGTGTTGAAAATTTCATTAGATTTAGAACCAACAATTATCACTTGAAGTCATCAATTCCAAAATTTAGAACCCATAAAGTTAAAATATTAGCTCTGTCTCTACTATGAAATTAGTACAGGTGCATGCAAGCTGTTCTAGACACTACACTTATTTTTTAAAAAACACTATAGAAGTACAAATAACATGTTTAGATCTCAATTCCGAACCCATAAAGTTCAAATAATGGATCTTCCCCTGCAGGTAGTAATCCCCAAATTACTTTATCAGATGATCATCAACAATCTTAAAGATAATACACATCTAAATTGCTTCTAATAAGTAGTACTAAGTATCAAATACAGTAAAAATATTGGAAAATTATTAACAGAAGTTATTAGAAAAGTGTACCTGATAGCAATGATGCCTTGATAAAGAAAAAAGAAAGAAGAAGGCAAAATAGCAGCAAGATTGACCCTTCAATGCTTCATTTGACAAGCCATGATCATATAAAATACATTATTGACTTTAATTTTGGTAGGTGTTTGATTGACCACTAAATATTTTAAAAAAAAAAGGGGAAATGGTCAAATATAACTTTATTAAAAAAATAGTCATTTAACAAATGATGTATATTTGTTAATTTTATTAAAAAAAAATTAAATTTGAAATTAATTATTTAACGGGTATATCTTAATCATTTGTGTAACGATAAGGATATATGTGAACGTTTTTTAAACAAAGGGTATATCAGATCTAAATCACAAAATTAAATGATATATAATGTTCTTTGCTAATATAGAACAATGTCATTCTTTTTATAACAATGTAAAATAAAAAATAGTATCATACAAATAAAAAAAAAGTATTTTGCTTCCTAACACAATGTAACTATGTAATACGACTCTAATATTTAGTATGTATAATACATAAATATGTTTTTTAACTTGACTTCAACTAACATTCATGCCCTCCAATTTTGGGTGTGCACAAGTAGACACTTAAACTTATATAAAATTGAATAAGTAGACACACGTGTCCTACATAGCATAATACACGAAGGACACAAAACAATCATATAGGATGAATTTGTCTATTGTTCAATTTTATACAGGTTGAAGTTTCTACTTGTGCATACCCAAAGTTAAATGTCATAATTACCAGCTGAAGTTAAGTTAAGGGTGATGTTAATGTATTATGCCTATTTAGTATAAGAGAGCTTTTATTTTTGTTGCTTCAAACATCTGGTATTTGAAATCCACTGTTTTGATCAATTCAACTTTGTATTCGAAGAAATTTCGCTATAGAGGTTTTAGTGCTCCTTATCAAAGAGGATTCTATTTCATAAACTTGTACTCATAATCTCTGATTAATAATGAAAGTAACCTTTACCACTCCATTACACTTTTTTTGTTGTTGTTGGTATTATTAGATAAATTAATGGCATTAGTTTAAGCACTTAGAGACCAATGAACATTTCCTTAATTTCCTCAAAAAACAGTTACAATTTCCTCCTTTTAAATTCACATTTTCCAACTTTTTAATCACCAAATTAACAAAGAAAATCAATCAAACTCCCTCCCCAACCAAATCTTTTTTTAACAAAAAATGGACAGAACAAGAAGATCAATTCTTGTATTATCTGTCTTAATATTCTTGGTTTGTTCCTCTATTCTTGTTCAGGCCCAAACACAAAAGCCCAATGTTAAGGTGGCAGGCCCAGATCCAACAAAAGCCCATGTGGAATCAAGGCCCAAACAAGAAGCAGTAGAAATATACCATGAAAATGATGATGCTGGGGTTGATGCTCTTAATAGAGATTTCTACGAGACTCAACAATTTGGTACAGATTTTGTTGCTGGTCATTAATTAAGTGGCGAAATCATCAATTTCGTTAAGAATATCCGAGATTTAAATATATATTTATAATTAAAACAAGTCTTGAGCAATGCTTTTTCTTTTATGTACACAATATAATTGTCTTCAATAGATGCGGCGCAATAAAATTGGTGGCCTAAAGTCAATTTTAATGGAGAATCTTATTTATGCTTAATATTTATAAAAAGAAAAATTAACTTATAAATTTATTATAAATAAAAATTGGGCTTCATCATTCATTTATTAGAAATTTTGCGTTCGAGCCTCCGAATAAATTTTCTTAATTGCACTTGTGTGTCACGAAATTGAATTACATCAAAAATAATTATTGGAAGAAGTTTTATTAAGCTACTTGAAATAGTTAAACTTTAGAACAATGCATATAATTTTCTAGTTGAAGCTATATATAAGACTTGATTATATATATATAATGTCTCTTTTTTAAAAGAGTAATTGATTTGGTAGTTTATGCGAGAACATAATTGACAAAGCATTTTTATTTTTAACGAGAGTTCGTCTCAACGATTGTTGCAGAGAATATAAAATATGAATAGGAAAAATAAAGGTAACCATCCTTGATAGTGTATGTCATGTACTAAAAAAAGAATTCGACAAAAAAAGATCGATGAAAATCAAACCAATGGAAATGTAAATTTTACACAAATCTCATAGTGCTAAGTCCTACTTTTTTTCAAATTACAGATTATCTTAAAATTTAAGGATTTTGAATACATCATTCAACGTCCCAATCGCGTCCCAATTTTGAATACATCATTCAACGTTTCGATACATCGCGCCCCGATTTTGGATACATCAGTCAATGATCGATACATCGCATCCCGAAACATCATATAAGAGTGATGTATCCGAGAATAAGAAAGAGTAGAGATTTTTGTAATTTTTTCAAATGATAATTTATTTTTTAGAGAATGTAATAAAATAAGTTATCTATTTAAGTAGATTTTCCAAAAAACTCAATTGATTTGATTTGTTTCCAACATTTAAAAAATAAGCTCAAACTAAACTATAAACACGCTTATTATATATGTGATTTACTAACCTATCTTGATGATAATTAAACTAGATAATGATAAATAACTAAAAGAGCCAAAGAAAAGTTATTTTTTAAAAATGAAATAGATTCATAGAGTTATACATCAAAAGATGGAAAGTGTCACTATTAAAATACCCATTTAAAGAATTTACTTCAACAACACAATGATCCCAATTAAAGTCTACTCAATACCATACTAATTGAAACAGAGGTGATTTTTTTGTCTAACACCACTGCTAGGCAGCTTACAACACTTGTAAACTTCAGCCTTACAACTCTCACGAATTTGACCAAGTCTGGAAGACTTAACTCACTTTTGGGCAATGTATAAGTATAACAAACATCAAGCAACATATGAGAACACTTCCCAACCTTTATTAATGTATAATCAATCAAAAGAAAACATTCCTCTTATGCCTTAGAACACCCGCCTTAGAACGAATTTCTACCCTATTAAAAATTCTACACAAGACAGTTAGAGCAGTTACAAAGTTGGTTACATCTGCCATGTGTTTGACAAGACAGTTAGAGCAGTTACAAAGTTGGTTATATCTGCCATGTGTCTGACACATGTCCTAACCAGATTTAAACTAAGTCTAACAGCCATAATACAATTCGAATTTAAATACATCAAGACCATGTGCCTAACACATGTCTTTCAAATGCCTCAGCCGAATTTACATCAAGCCCAACACTTAGAATATTTAAGCCTGTTTCTGACACTTGGTTTTATTTCAGCAAATCTGTCAACTCGTGTTCACACTTGTAATTGCCTTTGTCTTGTTATCGTCAAGTCCCACGACGTTGCCTTGTCAAGCCAACACACTGTCTTGCCTTGCCAATGACACTGCCCACACGTATGCCCCTAAGGTACCATACATCTGTTTTTGTGCCTTGCCAACACAAGCATCTTGAACACTTTGCTGCACACCAACACTTAGTTGCACAACTGCACTATTTTGCTCACATACATGCCTAGACCAATGCCCAAATCCTTGCTATGCTTGCACGACACTGGCTTAGTTAGACTAGAGGTCTCACACTAGTCCACTACTATAATTCATTCTCTTTATTCACGCAATTCCAAATTAGTTAAAATCAACTAATAAATAAATCAGGTAAGATCTCAATTTCAAATTAGTTAAAATCAACTAATAAATAAATCATGTAAGAGTAATTTAAATAACATAATTTTCTTGTAACAACCAAACTCAAGAGCCACTTCAACTTGCATTACGAATGAATGTGGAGACTGTAGGTCGGCGATGCGCGATTAACTCCGCTGATCAGTCCACAAGCTGCAAATTCTGAAGAGTATAAATGTAAAATTTCAAAAGAGTTTGAGAAAGAAGCAGTGGTTGGGGAGAATTCCAAAATTCCCAGATTCTAAACAAGTGCTCTGAGAGTTTTATCTTGAGTTCTTGATTCCCAACACTAGTTTTAGTGTTTTTGAGTAGGATTTTCAAGTGGGTTTTGAATTTTAGTTGCTTTGAAGCATTGAAAATCATTACCCAGTTCATGGACAACATGATTGGTAATAGTTTTACTTTTTATAATGTGTGGCTAAAACGATCATTCTTGGGGTGTCATCGTGTGATTAATCATTCTATTATTGTTGTTTACTGATTTAAATGCTTTTTTGATGATAGCTGTGTATTAACCTATGAATTGTAGTTGCAAATGCAATTCTAACTTAGTGTTCTGGGCTTGTTTCAGAAAGAGGTTCTAGAATTAAACCTATCGGTTGATGATTGTAATGATTGGGTTAATGTGGGTTCAGCTCGAGAGAGTGAGTCTTAATTCAATCCTATCTATCTAGCTCGAGAGAGTGCATAAATTGAGGTTTTGGGATGTTTATATTGTTATGCTTGTCGAGGTTCGAGAGAACTCGCTTGAATTGTAATAGTTGTTCGAGAGAAATCTATTGCATCTATAGTCTAGCCTACCCACTGTGATTCATCAATCAGTAAATTACAATTACCCATACATCGAAATTAGTCTTTAATCAATCACATCTAGAGAATCCTTCTTTACTTATCTCCTCCCCTGTTTTCGTGATTGTTGTCGTTGTTAATTGACAAATCTAATCCCCATCTGGCACTTGTTGTCAAACCTTTTAATTTAATTATGTTGCTTTAATTTGATAATGTTACTTCAACAAACAACTAGAGCACAAATTTCACTTTCTAGTTGAATTTCATTCTGCACCACTCTCTGTGGGTTCGACCCCAACTCTTTGTTGGGTTTATACTAGATTATGATCGCCTACCCCTATAATTGGATGAGGTATAGTTGAGCGTTATCAAAAATGGGATAATATAATTTCACGCAAGGGCGGGTCAATATAATGTATGGCCTAAAGTCAAACCTGAAATCAAAATTTAGAAAAGATAGTTACATTTATATATATATTTTATTCTCATATCTAAAAAGAATGTATTGTAATTAATTATAATGTAATAATTAAATTTTCATTCTCAATTGACAATATAACATTTTTTTGTAATATTTTGTAAGATAAGAATAACATATATAAATTATTGTATGTTACGTAACAACATAA